CTGTCAGTAACAATTCTGTGTCCCTCAGTAACGATTCTGTGTCCCCGAGTAACGATTCTGTGTCCCTGAGTAACAATTCTGTGTCCCTGAGTAACAATTCTGTGTCCTGAGTAACGATTCTGTGTCCCTGAGTAACGATTCTGTGTCCCTGAGTAACACTTCTGTGTCCCTGAGTAACAATTCTGTGTCCCTGAGTAACGATTCTGTGTCCCTGAGCAACACTTCTGTGTCCCTGAGCAACACTTCTGTGTCCCTGAGAAACAATTCTGTGTCCCTGAGTAACGATTCTGTGTCCCTGAGTAACGATTCTGTGTCCCTGAGTAACAATTCTGTGTCCCTGAGTAACGATTCTGTGTCCCTGAGTAACGATTCTGTGTCCCTGAGTAACACTTCTGTGTCCCTGAGTAACACTTCTGTGTCCCTGAGTAACACTTCTGTGTCCCTGAGTAAAACTTCTGTGTCCCTGAGTAACACTTCTGTGTCCCTGAGTAAAACTTCTGTGTCCCTGAGTAACACTTCTGTGTCCCTGAGTAAAACTTCTGTGTCCCTGAGTAACACTTCTGTGTCCCTGAGTAAAACTTCTGTGTCCCTGAGTAACGATTCTGTGTCCCTGAGTAACGATTCTGTGTCCCTGAGTAACGATTCTGTGTCCCTGAGTAACACTTCTGTGTCCCTGAGTAACGATTCTGTGTCCCTGAGTAACACTTCTGTGTCCCTGAGTAACACTTCTGTGTCCCTGAGTAAAACTTCTGTGTCCCTGAGTAACACTTCTGTGTCCCTGAGTAAAACTTCTGTGTCCCTGAGTAACACTTCTGTGTCCCTGAGTAACACTTCTGTGTCCCTGAGTAACGATTCTGTGGCCCTAAAGTCTCTGTGGCCCTAACTCTGTCCCTGCATACACACAGGTCTGTCTCTCTTGAATGACCGGAGGCTAATGGAGAATTCTAAGATGGCCGCGATTTATAGCTCCACCATTACACAGTGCTGGCTGGCTGGCTGCTGATTGGCTAATGCGATCACATGTCATGAATGAATGCATTATGGGTCAGCGCGCCTTGTCTGCGCGCCTTCCCAGAGATCCCCGCTCCGTCGCCACACATGTCGCCCGCCATTTTTGGAAAAATTCGATTCGTGCATCCGAAGTTTGCTAATTTTCGGATTCGGCGCGAATCGAATTTTTCCTAATCTTCGAAACGAATTCCACTTCGCCATGTTCAATTCGCTCATCTCTAGTTACAGGCAGTGAGTGTTTTTATGTATTTTAATTCTGCAGAGAACAGTAAGGGTACAGCCCACCAAAGTGTTCCTTTACTTCTGTGCCTAAATTCCGGTTGTACACTGCTTCTGCTAGTTTTGTTGAAGATGTTCAAGTAGTCTGTGGCAGAAAGGTACACAACCTGAATTATGAATATGTACCATCCTAGTCAATCACAGAGGAACTTTTTTTTGGTGGTTTAGCCAAGGTGGTGATAAATTATTAGTTCAAACTTTCTAGAGAGAACACTCTGCCGTCGACTTCACCGTAGAGGGTTTGTGAGTTGGAGAAATCTCCCTTTCAGCCTTGAGAAAGCTATTGTCCCCATATCAGGTTCTTAAGTCCTGAAGGAATGTCTTAGGGAAAAGCAAAACTGAATGTCTACAAAGAGAAATGTGTTGATTGAAGAGTTTTATTAGAATCAAGCACCAATTCTATAGTTGCTTAACTTGAAGGCTACACTTGGTACATCTGCTCTTAAACACAAAGGCAATTCAATAAGATAATAGATCAACCAGTTTCTGCACTATATTCATACATTTAAAGAATTTGAATTACTGAGAGGAAATACTATTAGATACAGAAAACATAAAAAGCACCTACAACATTCCCAACATTATATCACACACAGATATCATCAAATAGTCACTCAAATTATTTATCCTTAATCAACAGTATAAAAAAATGTCTCTTGCATGCTATTTTACAACCATCTTAAAATATATTTACATGTACAGTTGTACTCAAATGTTTGCATATCCTAGCAGAAATTGTGAAATTTTGACATTTATATTGACATATGACTGATTGTGACAAAAAAAACTTTTTTTGTCACAATCAGTCATATGTCAACATCATTGTCAATGTCTTTTATTTGGATGGTGATCATCTGAAGCCATTTATCATCACAAAGTTGTTTGACTCCTTTTTAAATCATAATAATATCAGAAATCACCCAAATGGTGATGATCAAAAGTTTACATACCCTGGAATATTTGGCATTGGTACAGACACACAAGGTGACACACACAGGTTAAAATAGCAATTAAAGAGTAATTTCCTGCGGCTTTTTAAATTGCAATTAGTGTCTGTGTATAAATAGTCAATGAGTTTGTTAGCTCTTAAGTGAGCAAGCTAGATACTTAGCCATGGGGAGCAGAAAAGAAATGTCAAAAGACCTGCATAACAAGTACTGCATATTTATAAAAATGGAAAAGGATATACAATATCAAATATATTCAAAGCCTTGAGTATGCCAGTCAGTACTGTTTGATCACTTGTTAAGAAGTGGAAAATTCAGAGATCTTTTGATACCAAGCCAAGTTCAGGTAGACCAAGAAAGACTGCCGCCACAATTGCCAGAAGAATTGTTACAAAGAATTGTTACAAAGAAAAACCCACAAGTAACCTCAGGAGAATTATAGGCTGCTCTGGAAAAAGACGGTGTGGTTATCTCAAGGAGCACAATACAAGGATACTTAAATAAAAATGAGCTGCATGGTCAAGTTGCCAGAAAGAAGCCTGGCTACAATATGCCTGACAATATCTTGACATGCCTCACAGCTTCTGGCACAGTGTAATTTGGAGTGATGAAACCAAAAAAATGTTGAAAAGGCTCAGAAGTTGGGCTTGCATTGTTAACAGTGTGTATTGGGTATCCCGTTTTCCCTTTTCCCCAGTTCAAATCTTTTGAAAAACTTGGTAATGAAGATTTGTCCACATTCTACCAATTATACCCAAGTCATTGGTAGGTAAACTACAGCAAAGTAAATGGACTAGACCTATTACACCATCTAGTGATCACTCACCATTAACTCAGGGTAAATAGTGTTACACGTTGTAATTTGATGTAATTGAGAAAAAAAACTTTTCCTTTCATTCTACAAATAGCTATCACTTTTTAAAACTTACAAGATACTAAAATGTCAAGTTTATAAAGTGGTAAATTGGGGACATTTTTAATTTCCTGTATGTGTGTGTATCACAGTTTTTCTGTACAGACCTGGAATGGCAATGACTATACAGTAATAGATTCATTTTTTTGAAGATTCTTCCTAAATATCTTCATAGCTAAAGAAATGCAGTTGATGGTGTTTTGCATACTAGAACATTGTGCTTGCTTAGGTGATGACAATGAAAGCAGACTTTCCCATTTCTGTAGTGTGAGAAATGTGAGAAAGGACAATCTAACGTAGGGGTGTCTAACCCGTGGCACATGGGCCGCATGCAGACCCAGAGAGTTTAGCATGCAGCCCAGGCCAGTCTGGAGGGACGCTGGGGATGCCATGCAAGCCACTGTGGCTAACACAGACAAGCCCAGCCAATGCACAGCTGTAGCGATGCCGAGGATGCCATGTTTGCAATAGCACCAGCAGCAGGAAATGCAGAGGCTCCAGGTAAGTAAATGATGCATGGCTGCTTCTAGAGGGGTGCTGGGGTAGGCCCCATCCACAAACCTCCCCACCCCCCACAACGCACATACATAGGCTGCATTCAAACTGGCAATTAGGACTGGTGCAAATTGTAGTGGTGCTCAGCAGATAGGTGAAAATAGGGATAGATGATGAGCAGTTCCCCCTGAGGTTCTCTGCTGCCAGACCCATACATTATAAAGACAGATTATCAGCAGCAGCACCTTTTTGTGTGTCTCTCTACACAACCAACGATTACCTGAGGTGATCATTGCTTGAAACACTTTGTCCAGCTGTGATCTGCACAGAGAACCCCGAATAGTGTGGCCATGGGGACCTGTCATAGCAAATCGACCCTGCAACTGCACCTTCCCGCTGAGAGCCGCAGGAGGAACTGCTCATCAGCTATCTTTATTATTAGTGTATTTTTTGTGTGGCCCAAGACAATTTTTCAACTTCAGATGTGGCCCAGTAAGGTCAAAAGGTTGGACACCCCTGTTTTAAGGAAAATCTCTGTCTTCAGAACAGAGAAATACATTTGGTAAGAGTTTTGCATTGTATGTTTACCTGCAGAGACTGTTCTGTTTTGAGAAATATGTGTAGGAATAAATGTATGATAATTTACTGTTTAGTAAGATACAGTAATCATAAAGAAAAGGAGGGATAGCTTCTGAACTGAAGTAGTGCAGTGTGATTTTTAGAAATGAGCACAATGATTTCAGCAAAATCAATTTTGGCAAAAAATGACTGATTTCATTAAATTTTACCATGCAGGCTCATTTGGTGAAGTAAGGGACCTTATCCATGTTACTTTGCAGTGTTATTTGCATTTTTGTATTTGTGTTTTTTCCTTATTTATTGGTGTATTTAAAAAATGCAAACAAAAAAAGTCAAATGCAAATTTAAAACATCAATTTGCAAATACTATTTGTGTAGTTCCCTTTAACTTTTTTTTGTTTATAACTGGGAATTGTTCATCAAAATTCAGGCACCTCTGTATAATCCTCCCAAACTCTCCCATCATAGCTAAAATCTGGGCTGCTCTGATAGGCCAACGATTATAAATAGTGCTTAAACTTGCCCACTCTTTCTAACTTCTACACATTCCTATTTGACACTCAAGCTGACCATTGTAGTGATGAACGAATAGGAATTAGTGGGGTGGGGCTAAGTGACAACCTCTTAAATTGCCATGAAATGTGTAAGTTTAGCCTGCCAGAATAGTTTGGGGTTGAGCCTTGACAGGAAGGTTTGGGAAGCAGCTGCAGATTTTTTTTATATGCAATATAAAACATGTTAGTTTTAAAAGATAAATACATTCTAAAAATTGTTACCTTTCTAAATCCGATATAAGTGGCAGTCCCTCCTTTTGTAGAGATCGATATGCCAGTCCTATTACACGAAAGCCTTGCTTTGTGTAGAAATCCAGTTGCTTACAAAAATTGTCTGGAACTATTTAACAAACAAAACATCTTTGTGATCACAAATGCTCACAGAAAAGATATTGTAAAAATGTATAGCCAAAAATCTTACCTTACTAGTTGTAGGTTAAGCCCCATTTTTGCATATTAAGGTGTCCGTTTATGACACAGAGAATAGCTGTGATTCAGATGATCGTAGCTACTCTCTGGTCATTCTGTCAGGGCAGGAGCGGTAGAATGGGCAGGCAGGCCTAATGGTAGGGTCATGCAGCGACTGACAACAGCCGCTACTCACAGACCAGAGTCCCTCAGGGCGCGGAGTCTAACCCCAGGCTGCCCTTCACCAGGGCCCCTGATGGTGGGGATGGACTTGATGCAGCCTGAGACCAGGTCGCGGCCCCCGAGTAACCCCAGCTGCGGTAATGACTGCTGCCAATGGCGTACAGCTGGTGGGAGCCAGATGGAAAACTTATAGCGTGGTCGGACAGGCCGGGTCGATAACAACGGAGCAAACAGTACAAGACGGTAGACAAGAATACTCAGGTAATGGGTTGGGTTCAGCAACGGGAGGTCAGGTAATGGGATAAAGCAGAGAATAGTCTTGTCCAAGCCGAGTCGGTTACCAGGAGAGCAACGAGAACAGAACAAGAGCTTGCTGCAAAGGAACATACAGGACACGAATGCAAAGAGCAACCGCAGACAGCAGGCTTAAATGTGATCAGCCACACCCTACTGGAGGAGGAGTTGCAGCGGCCTGAAAGCATAAAGGCTCCCACCATGCTTTGCAGGAACTTAAGATGGATGCCAGCACATGGAGCAACACAATCTCTGAGGAAAGGTAGGACCTTGACACATTCACAGTTTATGACACTCAGGAGATCAGCGGAGAACATGTTCATCCCTTCACTGGCGATCTGTGTTCTTCCTCCAGATTCTCCAGCCCAGAGCTGGAGAATGGGAGGAACCGCAAACTAAGCAGCGATGATCTACCTCTGCTTAGTAAACTGATCTTTTACTGTAATCTTGTGAGATTATAGTAAAATCAGCCGTTTTCCAGCGTTTGTAGACCGTTCTCCAGCATTTGTAGACTGTTCTCTCTTCGTTCGGAGAACTGATCTACACTGCTTCATAAAAGGCATTCACAGGAGAACTGTGTTCTCCAAGAATTCCGGAGAACTGATCAGCAATCATTTACCGCTGGTTCATAAACGGACACCTATATCACAAGCATTACCAAACAAACAAAATGCATACCCTAAAAAAAATCATTTTTATGGGTCTTGAAAAGCAGTAATTTACTGTGTACATTACATTCCAAACATAGGGCAGAAACCTCAAGATATATTCTATTAACTTTGTTAGCCACAGAACCACCTTCTGTGTGCTAAAACTAGTTTTACTTTATTACTAGGACATGATTTCCATGACTTGTGATCCTATAGCTAGGCTATGGACATTCACGTTTTTAAAAAATGTTCAGTAAATGTTCTTTAAAGTCATCACTGATCTCAGTAGCTGTTTTCATTGGGGACTTTATCTTCCTAAGGCTCCATGCACACTGGACGTTTTGATAATGCTGGTAGCGTTAGCTGTGTAAAGTCACATTAAAAACGGGCATTTTTCAGCTTTGTTTAGTGCTTTTGCATTAGCGTTTAGAGGCGTTTTGCCGTGAATAGTGGTGTTTTGCCGCGTTTGCATTTTTAGCTTTTTTTTTACCCCAAAAAAATTTGGGGGGTCAAAAAAACATACAAAAACGCTGGTTTGCGGCATTTTAGTGTTAGAGCGTGTTTACTGCTAAAAATTCCTCTAAAAACCCACTAGTCCTAGTTTTTTTTTTCCAGCCAAAACAAAGTCCCAGCCAAAAATTGGTTACAGTTTATGTGTGCATGGACACATAGGATAACATGCTGGGGGGTTTACTGGCTGTAGAAAAAAAGTCAAAAGCCAAAAACAGCAGCTGTAAAAATGTCACGTGTGCAAGAGGAGTAAAAGTTCATAGCAGAAGCACTGAAACCATTCTATTACCTCCCCTTGCTACTCCTTCCCAGCAGTGATTTGGCTGTCTTTCACTCTTATCAACTTTTCTCCAAAGTTTTTTTTCTAAAGGTGTTATGCATTAGTTAGCTACATTCAACTGGACTTGTTCTCTATTGTTGAAGATGTTTGGTAGCTTCTCCATGCCACTTTTTCAGTTTTACTGAGTGTCAGGAAGATACCCTAGCATTTTCATGCACACAGGTAGCACAGATACATTGATCCAATCACCATGGAATATGCAGATGTTGAATGCCTATGAACAGAATTTACATGGCTTTGTTTTCAAATGCATCACTTTAGATGAGGGCTGAGTTGCCATTTAGGGTCCATGCACACTCGGCAGCAGAAAAAATCCCAAAACTGGTGGCAGAGAAAAGCAGCATAAAAAGTACTTCTATGGAGCCTATTGTACATGCATTTAGGTTTGTTTGTGTTTATAAGTATTTTACTCAAAGCACAAGAAAAAGGTTACACATACCAGCCTAGGTTTAGACTGGATGCTGTGCAGTGCAGTGCTACTTTCATTCAGTTTGGAGTGCACATTTGCAGTGTGATTTGTGCTTTACAGCTGCGATTGTAATGTGATTTTAATAGTCTATGGAGTTTAAAATCACACCGCACTAAATACGCACAGGACCTGTTTTTAACCGCATTAGAATCGCACCACATAGATGTGAATGGCTTTCACAGAAAGCAATGTTATTTCACTTGACATGCGAGTCTAAGCATTCTGTTACATATCTGAACGGCATCATATTTGCATGAGTGTGAACCAGGGCTTAAAAGTGCTTGGCTCGCCTAAATGCGGCATTTGGGCATGTTTACACGTTTAGATGCATCAAGCGTTTTTATGCTTCGCTCAAAAAAGCACTTTTTATTTCAACCTGTAAAACACTCCTCTATAAATACGCTGTAAAATATGGACACATAGGCTAACAAAGAAGTTGCTTTTACAGGCTGAAACAAAAATGCCAAATACCCATATAAGCAGCATATTTTATGCCCAGTGTGTATGAAGTCTGATAAAGCAAACCTTGTATTTTAGGAATTAAGCTTGGCGCCACCCACCCACAAATTGTAAATCTCTCTACTGTTCAACAGGACTGCTAATCACATTAAAGGATCAATAGGGAGTCTCAGAAGGTTAGAGTGGGTAGGGCCTCTTGTTAAAGTTTGCATTTCTGCATATTTTCAACATATTTGTCTTTATATACTGAAACTTTGACACTTTAATTTTCAGCTGCGGCTGCCTGTTTGAATGGACACATGGAGCAGCGGCTTGGGAATGTGCCTGCTTGGGTGCCCCCATAGCAAGCTGCTGTTGTAAAGCACTCAACAGGAGGAAGGGACCTGGAGCGCTAGTGGGGGACCCAAGAAGAGGAGGATCCAGGTTGCTCTGTGCAAAACCACTGCACACAGCAGGTAAGTATAGATATATTTGTTTTTTTTAAAGTCTTTAGTATCACTTTAAGTTCCACTTTAACAGTTGAAAATATATTTTTACATTAAATTCTCATCTTTGCTTGCATGCTGTTACACATTTGTAGTTTCGTATATACACAGTTAGGTCTATATATATTTGGACACAGGCACAATTTTAGTTTTTTTTAGGTATGTTCCAAAACATATTCAAGCTATAGTTATACAATGGACATGAGCTGAAACTGCACACTCTCAGGTTTAATTTGAGGGTATGTACATCCAAATTTGAGGAAGGGTTTAGGAATTACAGCTCTTAAGAGTAGCCATCCCCCCTTTTTCAAGGGACCAACATTTTTGGACAATTGAATCAAAAGCTGTTTCATGGCCAGGTGTGGTCTACTCCTTTGTTATTTATTCATCAATTAAGCAGGTAAGAGGTCTGGAGTTGATTCTAAGTGTGGTATTTGCATTTGGATTCTATTGCTGTGAACCTACATCATGCGTTCAAAGGAGTTGTCCATGCAAGTGAAACAGACCATTGCAAGGCTTCAAAAATAAAACAAATCCATCAGAGAGATAGCAGCAACAATAGGAGTGGCCAAATCAACAGTTTGGTCCATTCTGAGAAAAGAAGAACGCACTGGTGAGCTCAGCAACATAAAAAGGCATGAACATCCATGGAAGACAACAGTGGTGGTTGATCGCAAGATCCTCTCTATGGTAAAGAACAACCCATTCACAACATCCAGACAAGTGATGGACACTCTCCAGGAAGTGGGCATATCATTGCTTAAGTCTACAGTCAAAAGAAGACTTCAAGAGAGCAAGTACAGAGTGTTCACCACAAGGTGCAAACCATCCATAAGCCTGAAGCCTGAAAAGCCAGAATAGACTTTGCCAAAAAACATCTAAAAAAACCAGACCAGTTCTGGAAAAGCATTCTTTGGATGATTGGAACTAAGATGAATCTGTACCAGAATGATGGCAAGAAAACAGTGTGGAGAAGGCTTGGAACAGCTCATGATTCAAAACACACAACGTCATCTGTAAAACATGGTGGAGGCAGTGTGATGGCATGGGCATGCATGGCTTCCAGTGGCACTGGGTCATTGCTGTTTATTGATGATGTGATAGAAGACAGAAGCAGCCAGATGAATTCTGTAGTGTTTAGAGATATACTGTCAGCCCAGATTCAGCCAAATAAAAAAAAAAAACAGGAGCTTTTGAAGGAAAGAAGTAGAATATTCTGCAATGGCAGAGTCAATCACCTGATTTCAATCCAACTGAGCATGCATTTCACTAGCTGAAGGCAAAACTAAAGGCAGAAAGACCCACAAACAAAGAACAACTGAAGACAGCTGTAGTCAGAGCCTGGCAAAGCATCAGAAAGGAGGAATCCCAGTCTTTGGCAATGTCCATGGGTTCCAGACTTCAGACAGCCATTGCCAGTAAAGGATTCTCAACAAAATATTAAAAGTGAACATTTTATTTATGATTATATTCATTTGTCCAATTACATTTGAGCCCCTGAAAATGGAGGGACTGTGTATAAAAATGGTTGCAGTTCCTAAACTTTGTACTTGCTATTTATGTTTAGCCATTTAATTAAAGCTGAAAGTCTGCACTTCACATTCATTTGGATTGTTTTTTTTTTTATTTATTCTGGTTGCATACAGAGCCAAAAGTATGAAAATTGTGCCTGTGTCCAAATATATATGGACCTAACAGTATATACAAGAATTATTCAGAATTTCCATGTTCTGCAGGGGTGCAGCAAAGACAAACATTAAAGCAGAAGTGCAGTAAAGATTTGTAGTAATAAAGAGGCACATTAAAAAAAATCAGAAGTGAAAAAGTGCAGTAAAAAGAATCAGTAATGCAGAGGTGCAGTAAAGAGGATCAGTAAAACAAAGAAATGTCAATACAGGGATACAGGACGTAAGTAAAGTAAACAGAGGAGTAGCAATACAGAGAAGCAGTAAAAGAAAGGTGCAGTAAAGAGAAACAGTAAAAAAGATGTGCAGTAAGGAGAGGCATTACATTACAAAGGAGTCCCTAACAGATATAAAAATCCAGCAAGTGACTCAACCCACCAAACTCCACCTATAATTGAAATACCACATTTGAAATGTAATTCTTATTTTTATCATATTATATTTTATTATTCCTATATTATACTATCTAATATTAACCTGTGTCAGATTTGCAGTAATGGATAACCATTTCTGGAGCTCCTTTCATAAACACTGTGAGGTCACTCTCTCCAATAACCTGAGTGATCACTGACATACGCTGTACAGTGGAGGAGAAGGGAAACTGATGTAGAATGATGATTCCTTCCTTGGGTACCTAAAATGATAAAATGTATTCTGTTATTTAATATTCTTACTATTTATTAAGTCTTTATTAATTATTCAACAAAATACATGTGATCATAGTTACGCATCAAAAATTAAAAAAAAACTGTGCATTTACAGACCAACACGAAACCTTCTTTTTTTAGTTTTTGATATACTTGGGAAGAGTAAATACTATTTATTACCCTTTGGGGAGATTTATATCACTGGAAGAGGAAGATCCTTCCATAACTGACTTTTTTATTTGTATTTTCTATATGCATTTTCCATAAGTAACTGTGCATCTTACTGCTTTTATAGTGCATTATAACATATGTTTTATATATCCTACCTTTCTTTGAAGATGCAATTTAACCCCTTCACGACCAGGGGCAAAATAAATCATGCCCAATTTTGAAACTTTGACGTGTTAGTGCAACTGTACATATCATTGCAACTACTTAGTGTATTCAGGTGGATTATACCATGTAATATTATCACCTTTTTGAAATTACATAAACATACTCATATTCAAAAAAATGAAATATAATAATAATAAAAACTCAAAAAATCAAAAAAAGTCCAATACAAAGTGTCCCAATAAAAAATGTCCCAATACAAACAAAAATAGTGTCCAAAAATGTCCCAATGTTCAAACTTTATCATCCAGTAGGAAGAAATTCCATTTCATCCCGTGGTACCTCAAAAAAAACAAATTTGAATAATCTAGTGCATTACCTTTATAAATAATATAATCACTCTGTGCAAAAACACAAAAAACTGTGCAAGAACTGTATATATATATATCTCTTCCGTGCACATATGAGTTAACTGTGACCACTCTGTGAACACTGCAACACTGTGTATCCACCAACACCAATAGTATTAAATACTATTACCCTCTGTATCCATATACCAGCATCCAATGAGATCTTCTAATTTGCTCCCAAGAAATTATTCCAAGGTCCTCAAAAGACAAGAAGGGTCTCAAGGCTCATATTCAGGGTATAATTAAGAAATCTTTAATAGCCACTTACATTAAAACTTCATTAATCCAGCTTCCAACATGGTTTTTGTGTGAGCTCTATCAAACAAATGCGAATGCCATGTGTTGACAACCCACAAAATGGCCGCGGCGACACTTCCGGTCTGCGTGCGTGCATGCCATGTGTTGACAACCAACGCAGACCGGAAGTGTCGCCGCGGCCATTTTGTGGGTTGTCAACACATGGCATTCGCATTTGTTTGATAGAGCTCACACAAAAACCATGTTGGAAGCTGGATTAATGAAGTTTTAATGTAAGTGGCTATTAAAGATTTCTTAATTATACCCTGAATATGAGCCTTGAGACCCTTCTTGTCTTTTGAGGACCTTGGAATAATTTCTTGGGAGCAAATTAGAAGATCTCATTGGATGCTGGTATATGGATACAGAGGGTAATAGTATTTAATACTATTGGTGTTGGTGGATACACAGTGTTGCAGTGTTCACAGAGTGGTCACAGTTAACTCATATGTGCACGGAAGAGATATATATATATACAGTTCTTGCACAGTTTTTGTGTTTTTGTGTTTTTGCACAGAGTGATTATATTATTTATAAAGGTAATGCACTAGATTATTCAAATTTGTTTTTTTTGAGGTACCACGGGATGAAATGGAATTTCTTCCTACTGGATGATAAAGTTTGAACATTGGGACATTTTTGGACACTATTTTTGTTTGTATTGGGACATTTTTTATTGGGACACTTTGTATTGGACTTTTTTTGATTTTTTGAGTTTTTATTATTATTATATTCATTTTTTTGAATATGAGTATGTTTATGTAATTTCAAAAAGGTGATAATATTGTGTTACTTTCTGGGGAGAAAGTGTGACTTTTTGAGGAGTTTTGGGGGGAAGGTGGTTATACACATACTTAACTGGATTATACCATGTGTTTTTTTTTCATATCCTGATTTTTTTCTATTATTAAAGGAAAACTGCACCAAAATATTAAATTGTTTTAAAATTTACAAACACACCAAAAACACACAACAACACAAAACCACCCCCCACAAACCAACACACCCACACACACACACACAGGCTGTAAATGCTTATGCCATTACCATGACCCACACATTCTATTTTTGATGATCGTGGCGGTACCATGTATGTGTATGTAATTTGATCTTTACGCCCGTGGTAGGGCCAAACAATAGTATGTATTTTTTTTTCTAACTAAACATATTGACAGGATTAAAGCCCACCTCCTGGACTCTGCATAAATGTGGTACATGGTCGTGAAGGGGTGAATGTAATTTAGCAGCGATTGTAAAAAACAATTATATAAATACACATATAATTTAAAACAATTGTACTGCACTCTCTAAAAGCTAAAGGTGTAGGTTAAATGTACCTAAAGCACATAAATACAAATGGGCCTTTAGCACTGGACACTTGTATATTAAATAATATAATATAATAATATTGAATGATCTTTTTTTATGTGTTTAGAAAGGTTTAGAATAAATAAAGCAGTATTAAAAGAGTAAGCAGTATTAAAAGTAGTAAGAAATGTAGCTTACCAATCCTTAGATATAGAGGATACATTATTTATTTTTCTAGGCTCTTTTCTTTTATTTTCACATGGTGATCCTGCCAGTAAGTCTGTTATTTTTAAACTTTTCTTAAAGTGGTAGTAAGCTTGGGCATGTTTAAAAAAACCCTGCAAGGTAAAGGCATAATGTGCTAGTATGCATTGTATACTAGCACATTATGAAATTCTTACCTTAGAACTAAGCTCTCCAGCAATGCATTGTCATGCTGACAGGGCATCCACCCGTTCTTCTTTCTGGGTTCACATGCTACGGCCACCTGACTGGCCGAGCTGTGATGATGTCACTCCCCCACATGTGTGAGAAAGTCATGGGCATGGCACACAGCTCTGAAGGAAGAGCATGAGTACGCTGTTCCTTCAGAGTACATGCGCCAGTGATGTCACTGGATGCATACTGTGTGCATATCTTATAAATACTACAAGTTTAGGAGATATTATACAGGTAAGCCTTAGGTACAGTGAAGAAGTTCACTACTACTTTACCAGGCCAAGTTATCAAGTAAAAGTGTCAGTTAGAGGGTTGAGAAAAACCTTTTACCACTGACAGGGATGCTTACATTGATCAGCTTTTATTTATTTATTTAATACCTTTATTCTAAAAGTTAAAAAAAATGGTTGCTGTAACTGCTTGTAAAGTGTTAGCTGCAGCTCAGCTTCAATGTGTCAGTCAAGTCCATCTAAATCTTCTAGTCCATCTAACACTACCCTCTCCGCAGATGGACAATGTTGCTGTCCAAAGTTGTCTCCATTACTCCTCCATCCAGAATGGAGACACCATAAGATGGGAAGTGTGTTACTGACCAGATCACTTGTGAAAGGAAAAGAAAAAAGGCAGAATTTCTTCATTTATTTTTCATCTCTTTTAACCACTTTTAACCTCCTTGCAGTAGATTTACTGCTAGCAGGCATCATCTGCAGGCTCAGTGACAAACCTGTACTTCACTGAACATATGCACACTGGAACACCCTCTGAGACAGAGCGGATCATGGCGCTTGGTAACCATAATATCATGTGATTGCTATGTTCAATCATGGTTATCATGTGATAACTTTTAAGCAAATTGTCATGAATGGCATTAAATTTTGCTTACTGTTGTGATGCTGTGATTGGTCACAAGTAATCACATGGTACCTGACCCAATCACAGCACCCTGTACCATGTGTTCAGTCATGGCCAATAACAGCATCACAATAGTAAACACTAAGTCGTGATTGTGAATAAAATCCATTCATAACTACTGCTTATAACAGTGATCATCACTGTTATAAGCAATAATAGTATAAAAACAAAAATTCCTGATCACTCACCAGAGTAGTACAGTATCTCTATGGTTACTCTGAACCACTCTAATAACAGTATGTAAAAAATTTGTAAAAAAAAAAAAAATGTGTTAAGAAAAAATGAAAAATAATGTTTAAAAAAAATTAAATAAACACACACATATATAATATATATATATAATTTATTTATTTTATATAGCACCATCAGTATCCCTGATCTCCGCCATACTAGTCATATGATGACACTATACTGCATTGGTGACAGTTTAAAAAAAGTGAAAAAAACAAAACAATTTTATTTAGTTTCTTCATTCTCCAAAAAATTGTAACAAAAAAATTACAACTTCAAAAAAAGTCGCCATGCCTCTTACTAAATATGTTGGACTGTCCTGGTATTTTAGAGCCTCAAGAAATGAGATAGGCTGCCAGTACCTCAGGACTGATCAATTTCCAAATATATATACCATAGTTTGTAGACTCTAACTTTCACACAGACTAATTAATATACACTGATTTGGATTAGTTTTACCAAAAAAGTAAAATACATTTTGGCCTAAATTTATGAAGAAAGATTATTTTTTTGCATAATGTTAAAACAGAAAAAAGTAAAGTGTGTGTTTTTTTTTTAAATTTTGGTATTTTTTTCATTTACATAATAAAAGATTTAAAAAAAACCCACTGGTTATTAAAGTTCAAAAAAGTTCTATTTGTGTGAAAAAAATTATATAAATTCCATTTGGGTACTGTGTTGCATGACCAACCAATTGATAGTTAAAATAGCACAGTGCTGAATAGCAAAAAGTGCCCTAGTCATGAAGGGGGCCTTCGAGAGAAGTGGTTCAAAATAATTGCTAGTTACAGATGTCTGATATCAATATACAGGTTTTCATATATCTACATTTCATAAACTGTCTTACCAAAGAAAAACAAATTGTAATATGTGTTTCTAGAAAAAAAAGCTGCATTTTAATATAGAAATGTAAAAGCCATTATAGTGATAATAAAAAGCTGAAAATTATACCTAAAGTACATTTTAATGGTTAAGCAAATGTATACTATATTGCAGAAAGTTTTTGGACACCCGACCCTCATACCTGCTATATGGCCAAAAGTATGTGTAAACCTCTCCAATTTTTTAAGTTCAGGTGTTTCCACCTGATTGGTACTTTTAATGTTACAGCATACAAAGAACTTTTAGATTGGGTTCTAACCCTGTGGCTATTGTTTGCGGAGAATGCATGAAGGTAAAAAACCTTGAGCCTTTACAACCACTTTAATACGCCCTTGTTTTTTAATGCAATCTCTAACAAGCTCATGTAGGTTTGATGGTCAGGTGTCCCTAAACTTTTGGCCATGTACTGTATCCAGCATCATGTTTGTTTAGTCTTTCAAAATGTGTATTGTGCAGATCTGGTTTGGGTCCATTCCTAAACTGCTCTGCAAATAATGGCCGCTACAGCCTCTTCCAACACATACAGTACTTGTGCTGAACGTACAATGAAATGACTTCCTTCTTTTCTCAGAAAAACTATCATCAAAGCCTAGTTTCTTTATGTTGGTGAATCTCAACTGACTAATTTAGGCTTGGCCCTGAAATGTATTACACTGAAAACGTGTATGCAACATTGCTACATAGTGGATATTTTTTTATCTTGCATTTTCTAGATGAAAGAGTGTAAAAAGAAAACAATAACTTGCCTGTCCTGCTTTAAATTCAGGTTTTGCTATTGTGCAAGTAATCGATGGCCCATCTTCGACCATTTTAGCAATATATTCTTGAAGTTCCTGTTGCAAATTTCACACAATGAAAAATTACTGAAAATATATAATACCTAAATCATGAACTACATTTGTTTATGCTCATATGATGAACTGATTTCATAATACTTTAAATGGGATTACAGATAATAGTATAGTGGTGAGTAATGTCATTTGAGAGAACATTATCCTAGTAAGCAGATACCATGATTTTAGTAGATGCCTTCATTGGATTTACTACTTTTAATCTAGTATTAAAAACCAACTTATTGCTGATTAGTGTAATATAGAAAAATAATGTACCCATCCTGTCCCTGCAAACATTTTCAAGTCCAGTGGATCTCCATTTAATTTCCCATCCATCTTGATTAAAGAATGGCAGCTAGCCATAGCCTGAAGTATTAAGTCCCAGGGCAAATTATTGGAGCTGTTAAGCAAAGTCATATCCTGGAATCTGCAAAGATATACAGAAAACATGAGAGGACATATCTCAAATATTTAAAATAAGCAGAAATCTAAGACATAACTAACTGTAGAGCACATATAAATAGTACCCTCATCCCAAATAAACACCATCAAATACGTTAAATGTTGAAAAGGTGTAAAGAAAATATTTATTTTTTTAATAAATGGCAATAAATTAAATCACCTAATGGTGTCTTATAGCTCTCGGTGTGCTATGCTGATAACTCTTTGCCTAAATTTCTACTCATCTGCAGTTACAAGATGACCCCATTCTCCCTGTTAATTGTTTTTCATTTAAAATCTAGAGATCATACAGTATGTATTGGAAATACATTTCTCTTCAGAATTGAATAGATATATTTGAAATGTATCAGTTTTAACCACTTCCCCGCCCAACCTATAGCAAATTAACGGTGGGGTGGGACTCCTGAAAGAAGCCTTGTGTGCGGATGTGTGGGTGCGCTGCGGCACAATCTTTCACCGGCTGTGTCCACTGCCAGTACCTTGTGATCGACCTGACCAATCACAGTAGATCACATGACGATTGTAAATTTCATTCCATTCATTGTCACAATTGTGTTGTTAATTGTGATTGGTCAAAGTGATCACATGGTACAGACATGGACAATCACAAGCCATCTGTACCATGGGATTAGCTGTGGCCAATCACAGCTAATCACAACACAAACTGAATGAATCAATTTAATTCAGTAAAATGCTTCCTTATAGCAGTGAAATTCACTGCTATAAGCAATTATAGTATGTAAAAAAAAATCCTAACCACGTCCTAAGAGTAGTACAATGTTGCTTTGGTAACATTATATTGTTTTGGTCACAGTGTGTTAAAAAAAGGAAATAAATGTGATGAAAAAGAAAAAAAAAAGTATAAAAATGTTTTTGTCGTACCATCACCAGTTAGTGTTTCTGATCACTACCACACCAGTTATGTGATGATGCTGTACTGCACTGGTGACAGAATGTAAAAAAAAAAAAAAGTAAACTTTTTTTTAATTTTGTAATTTTTCAAAAAATATTATGATAAAAAATTACAACTTCATAAAACTCTGCATGCCTTTTACTAAATACCTGGGACTGTATACTTTCCAAGAAGGGGTCATTTGGGGAGGTAATTTGAACTGTTCTGACATTTTATGGCCTCAAGAAATGAGATGAGGTTAGTATATCAGAATTGATCTATTTTCAGATATATACCATAGTTGTGGACTCTATAACGTTTCTACAGACTCAATAATATTCACTGATTTGGCTTATTTTCACTGAAGAAATGTAGCAGAATACATTTTGGCCTAAATTTATGAAGAATTTATTAAGAAGATTCATTTGCAAAATTTTATAACAGAAAGGAAGAAAAATGCATTTTTCCCCCAAACTTTTTTAGTCTTTTTTTTGTTTATTTAACAAAACATAAAAACCCAGTGGTGATTAAATACCTACAAAAGAAAGCTCTATTTGGGAGAAAACAAATTACAAAAATGATAGTTTGGGTACAGGTTGCATGACTGAAAATCAAAAGTGCCTGGCACTGAAGTGGTCATTCAGCTAATGTATCCTGACTTCGGCTAATAATTAAATTTTCTGTTTCTCCCATCAGTTATTCAGCTAATCTATCCTGCCTTCAGCTAGTAACCAAATCTTCTATTTCTCCCATCGGTCCATCCCCCACAGTTATTATCTTTTTTACCACTAGCCCCTCCCTCATAGATTGTATGTTCCAAAGAGCAGGGCCCTCCTATCCCTCTTGTATTGAACTGTATTGTTGCTGTAATGTCTCCTGTTATATTATAACGCACTAAGCAAACTGTTGGTGCTATATAAATCATGTATTATAATAATAATATTAATAATAATAATAAAAGAGAAAAACAGAAAAATCTAATGTTATTTTAGATATTTAAAACAACCCTAGATACAGTATATCGACTGAGTATGAGGATTTTGATGTCTATGAATGTTCAATTTCCCTTCTGAATTTACTCTGCATACAGGTGAAAAAAAATCTAATTTGTGTTAGTCAACTCTAATAAAAAAAAAAAGATTTTCTCCTGCAAGACAAAGGCATATTGTGCTAGTATGCATACTAGCACATTATGTGAACCTTATCTTAAAACTAAACCCTCCAGTGCTGGAAAACTAGAAATACATTTAGTATGGTGAATTAGCTCATATTACCTCATTGGTTCGTGCAAACTTACCTACTGTTATCACAGGGAACTATGCCATATAAATCTAAGATATTTTCTGTTAAAGTGCCTGTCTAGGATAAAAAAAAAAATATATAAAACAGATTATTTTTAGTATCATGTAGTATATAATTATAGGCAATATAGGTTATAATTAATAGGTGTCCCTTGATCTCTCTGGTTAGATATCTGTTGCTGTGATTGCTTCTAGGGATATGGGCGTATAAATAGAGACGACAAAGAAATGTTTTCAAATGACTAAACCAATTATTCAGATAAAAGTATATTTATAAAAAAAAGTGATATCAACAAGAAACCATTTTTTAAGTGATTGAAAGGGTCTTTTTTTTAATTAGAAACATGTCATACTTACCTGCTCTGTGCAATTATTTTGCACAGAGCAGCCCAAATCCTGCTCTTCTGGGATCCCCTGCTGGCACTCTGGGCTCCTCCTCTTCTCTGTGTGCTGTCATAGGAAACCACATCTTCTGGTGGCACACATGTGGGCTTCTTCCTGTGCCAGGCTGTGTGTGCCTATTGACACACACAGTGCAGCTCACCCTGCCCCCTTGTTGCTGGATTTGATTGACAGCAGAAGGAGCCAATGGCTTCCACTGCCTTTGGGCACAGTGCTGTATTAAGATCGGGCTCGGCTAAGTATTTAAGGAGACTGAGGTGGGGGGGGGGGGGGGAGCGGCACATAAAAGGTTTTTCACCTTAATGCAGTAAGGTAAAAACAAACCTTTAGCCTTTACAACCACTGTAAAGGAATACAGAAAGATATTAATTCAAGCAGACACTTTAAGATCATCATAGTGGCATATTCTAGATGTTAGCTGTATTATGTTGCATAGCAGGATAAACTATGTTAACTGGAAAGGAATATGGCTTTTATTGATATTTATAGGGCTTATATGCATGGCACAGTGAAAGTCACGGATTGTGCAGTACAACTAGTACAGGTATAATAAGAGTTAACCATGTAGAGTGCTTTAGACAATTTACCTAGATTTTTCTACTGCAACTCAAAAATCATGAGAATAGATACTGTAGGTCATCATGTACAAGAATAGTGGTTTTCCATTAACCATGAAAAAAATTGTTTTCCTGTGATTTATCGTCATCAATCAATCCAGTCTAATATTGTCCTTGGGTAAACGGTGAAGTATCTCATGTCAGCCAATTACAATTATCATTACAATTCTGCTGGTGGTCATTGCTTTAAATAGCTCACAAGTGCAATGCTTTATTTTGCATTTTCTTTTCACTTTACTATCATTGAAAACATTTATGTAATGCAAACCATTCAATAAGATTAAACTTACTTTGTCAAAACATACAAGATTTAATTGGCCAGCTAAATTAATCCTTTGAGGACTAATACAGAATATGCCCCGTTTCTTCAGCCTTGTTTGTCCATAAAGAAAACTAAGTGTAACGAAGACTGGAATGCCAGGATCCACAGCTGCTGTTGGCATCAAAAATGACATCAGTACAATATTTTGTACACTGGCCTGTGGAGCAAAAGAAAAAGGAAAAAAGCGGCTTAAATACGACAAGCTTTGTTGTTCACAAATGCTAATTACAACAAGCATAACTCAATATTAGGTGGAAAAAAAAGTATTGCATGTGTCACTGTTTTTACCCAAGATTCACACAACTTTCACTTGAGATTCATCCATTTTTTTAAATTTAATTCAATGTGAGGTGAAGCTTGGAAAAAAGATGTCTGAATCTTGGGTGAAAACATTAAAAACTAGACCCCAAGGTAATGTAGCCATGTTGCAATGTGCAATGTGCAATGTAGCAAAATTTAAGTTATAAGGCTAAATAAAATGATGGAGAGGACAGTATACTTAGACTATTCACAGTACGCTCATTATGATATCTCCCTTTTACAAAGTGTTCTGGAATGATTACAACAGACAGTAAAACCTTTACTGTGGTCAGATGTATTGTATTATTTTACAGTGTGTAATCTCTCCACACATCAAACACAATATAACAAAGAACAGTTACACAACATTAATCTCTATAGGACTGCTTAAATGAATATTTGTTGTACTACAAAATTATAGGCTGATAGGATGTTTTTCTTATAACAATTAGAGTTGGCTTTGTGGGAGAACAATAGGATACCATTTCCCCTCAAAATGAATCACATGCCCCATATAGGATTGGTTATAATTGATTCTATTGTAAAGGATGACCGCCAATTAAAATTACTGGTTTCTCAAAAACTTCCACAATTATATGTGATGTGGTAGTGATCATGGAGACTTGATTCACACGCTGTGGAGATGTCCCCATCTTCACATTTACTGGATGGGGGTTATAAGGAAACCTAATAAGGTGTTTCAGGCCAAGATTATAAATGACTCTAAACAATGTTTCCTGGGTATTCTAAATGATATACAGGTTCAAGAGATTACCAAGGAAGCTATTGCCAGGGATTTAGTTCAAGAGTGGAAACTATTTGTATTTCATCAGCGGACCCTCCCATGCTTAGAGAATGGATAAGGCACATGGATGATACAGTTAAGATTGAGATTCCTAATTATCAACACAGAGGCTGTCTAAATAAATTTGAAAGAATTTGGGGTCAATGGTTGGATATTCCTAGGCTAAACCCAACTGATCTAGTTTTAGGCAGGCTCCTTCCGACCATTTAGGCAGTTTTGGAATATATACTTCTTCCTTTTTACATGGTATACTGATGATTACTTGTTATCTCTGTGGTTGTTCCTTGATATACTGCTGTAATATAATAATGCGCATATTACA